CGAACCCGAATCCCTCCACTCCCTGGCTGCACCGAGAAATTCTATCTATAAAAGTTTTGAAAAGAATCTGTGACAATGGGCAGTGCTGGCAGAGTCTAACTCCCACCCTGAAGGGTCCGACTTACTACCGGCAATGTAAACCAAGCTCTCGCACCACTTGTATAGGGACTGAACAGCTCGTAGCAATAGGCTCCCAATCCCATACTCACAGAGCACCCCCCACAGTGTACCCCAAGGAACACTGTCAAATGCCTTCTCCAAGTCCACAAAACACATGTAGACTAGATGGGCAAACTCCCATGACCCCTCGAGGACCCTAGTGAGGGTAAAGAGCTGATCCAGTGTTCCACGGCCAGGATAGAACCCACATTGTTCCTCCTGGATCTGAGGTTCCACCAACGATCTGACTCACTTCTCTAGTACCCCTGAATAGACCTTACCAGGGACAAACTGACTAGCACAGAAGTCCAACAATAGAACACCACTCAAATTCAGATCAGAGAGGCCGTTCCTCCCAATCACACACCTCCAGGTCACACTGTCTTTCCCCACGTGGGCATTGAAGTCCCCGAACAGAATAAAGGAGTCCTTGGCTGGTACACCTTCCAGCACCCCCGCCAAGGACTCTAAAAAGGTTGGATACTCTGAACTGCCATTTGGCACATAGGCACATACAATCGTCAGAGCCCGTTCCACCACCCGAATGCGCAGGGAAACTACCCTCTCATCTACCGAGTGAAAACTCCAATGCACAGGCGCCAAGTCGTGGGGTTAAGAGTAGACCCACACCAGCTTGGCGCTTCTCACCATGGGGAACTCCAGAGTGGAATAAGGTCCAGCCCCTCTCAAGGAGATTGTTTCCTGAGCCCATGTTGTGCATCAAGGTGAGCCCAAATATAGCTAGTCGGTATTTCATGTAGTATGCTAAAAGGCTAGGTTAGCTTGGTGAGCTTCAGAGCTCCACTACAGTCATATTTTAATAACGGGTTCTCTCTTTTTCGAGCTACTTGACAGATATGTGACAGAGGTACTGTGTTGTCGATGGTTTAATCAGTGACATGAGATGTTAATTTTCTTTGACCCATAAAAATAAATGTGGTCATTTATTAACAGAATCAAAATTTAACATCAAAACATTGTACACTTGATTATACTGATCGGCTCTGATTAATAAAACTTGGCACGTTTTACTTAATAAAAACAACAGACATTCCTGAAGATATCTGGATTAATTACTGGCAAGATAGAAGTTTAAAGATGGGAAATGAAGGAGTTTAAATGGAGAGAAAATGTGGAGGAAGAAAGTGTGTTGACGAAGAATGGCACCCTTCATCCGACCCCAGCTCAGCCCCGGTACACTAGGTAGTGAAGCGACTCGTTACCTTTGCAGAAGATAGGTCAGCTCCGGTACGGAGTTCCATTTCAGCGCTACCTTTCAGCGTCTCCTCAGGATGGCTGAGAATCGTCCGAAGTAGTGACGGTACTCCGTTCAACAACACGCTCATCTCCCGGGTGAACTCACAGCGAGCTGTGAGTCCGTCAGAGGTTCCACTCAGATGTGGAAGGCTCCATAATCCCAACTAGACTCAGAAGACTGAGTCTGAGAAAAACTCAGAAGAACTCCTAGGAACTCCAGCCGAACTCCATCAGAACCAGCAGAACTCACGGAACTCACGGAACTCCATCAGAACCAGAAGAACTAACGGAACCAACTAACTAATGGAACTAGAAAGTGTCGACTTTTAAAGAGTTCTGCTTCTGGTCACTTTTAGGAAGTCCTGATTGGTTGAAGGAACCAACAGGGGTGTGGTTTTAGTGACGTCAGAGGGTCATTACAAGTCAAGAAAACAGCGGAAATGTTTAGGAACAGACAGAGAAATGTTTTAATGTTTTGACGAAGTGAGAAAAACTACAGGTGTCAGTTCTCTTGTTACTGTCCGAGAGGTTTAAAAACACGACAGTTCGTTCCAATAACTTGTTTTCCGACTGTCTCTGACTTTCGACCGACATCACTCTTTCTCATTTCAGACAGAAGATCAAAAATCCATAATTACTTTGTAAAATAGACATTTAACTTGATTTCTAATTTGAATGAGGATTAAAAAATCATTAATACTGTTTCACAGTTGATTTAAAATGAGTGGTTCACTTCAACATTTAAAAATGGTATGAGCTAAACATACTTTTGATTATCAAGATATTGTAAAATAGTAATGATAATATAAAAAAGAGAGTGTTCTTTCAATTGATTAGTTCAGGATACAATTAGAAAGTCTCTGGATGAATTAATTTGTATTTCTGGATTCAAATCAATGAAATAACAGTTCCTGTCCCATGAAGGTCCTCAGAGGCAGGTTTGATCGGAGGCCTAGTTCACTACACTCACAACCTCACGCACAAGCTCAGGCTCCTTCTCCACCAGAGAGGTTACATTCCATGTCCCAAGAGCAGCTTTGTTAAGCCAGGGTCAGAGCGCCAAGGTCACCGTCTTCGGCCACTGCCCATGGCATCATGCATCAGCCTCATGTGGCCCCTCCTGCAGGTGGTGGACCCACTGGAAAGCAAACCCATGTTGCTCATACGGGCTGAGCCTGACCGGGCCTCCGGTCACCAGGCGCTTACCAATGAGCCCCTCCCCTAGGCCTGGCACCAGGGTGGAGCCCTGATAACCCGCGTTCAGGCAAGGGACAGTGAGTTCCTTCTTTGCTTCTGTCCACTACCGTTTCACATCAATGAAGAAGACGAAGGAGATGGTTGTGGACTTCAGAAGGAACAACCCCCCCCGAACATAAGAGGATCTGCGGAGGAGGTGGTCTCCAGCTACAAGTACTAGGGTGTCCACATGAATGACAACCTTAGCTGGAGCAGCAACACCACCAGGCTGATCACAAAAGCTCATCAGAGACTCTACTTCCTCAGACGGCTGAGACGAGCTGGTCTGGAAGCTCAGTCCTCACCTCCTTCTACAGGTGTGCAGTGGAGAGCATCCTGTGCTCCAGCATCAACATGTGGCATGGAGGCTGCACAGCTGCAGAAAGAAAAGCTTTGCAGAGAGTGGTGAAGGCTGCACAGAAGATGTTGGAGTCAGTCTCCCCACCATCACAGACATCTACACCTCCAGATGCAGGAAGAGGGCCACCTGCATCATGAAGGACCACACTCACCCAGCACACACACTTTTTGTCCCGCTCCCCTCAGGAAGGAGGTTGAGGAGCATTAAGTGTAGAACCACTAGACTGAGGAACAGCTTCTACCCTGAGGCTGTTAGACTCATGAATCTCTAACTAGAATAATCACTGTGAAAAACCACATGTTGCTGCTGATCTGTTTCATGTTGCTGCTGATCTGTTTCATGTTGCTGTGCTCATTCTTACTCATCTGCTCACACAGACTCATGTTCATGCTGCTGTTATGCTATTAGTGCTTAGTGTATATTTAGTTTGTTTTTCTTAGTTCATATCTTAGATCTTATCATTGTTTTTCTTTTGCATTTTATTGTTGGATGTAAATGGGACCCTGTGTACATTATTTCGTTCCACCACATGTGGTGTGAATGACAAATAAAGAAACTCTGACTCTGACCATAATAATCTTGTGAATTGCTCTTTGTTTGGCCTGTAACCTAGAACCAATCTGCCTTGGTTGACCCTGCATGAGACAAATATAATTCTCCTACTCTGCTCCTGTTTCCTGGAATATCTTGCAAAAAGATCTTAAGCTCTCAACCTTGATCTCTTTAAGTGGTTTCAAACATCTGCTAAGATCATGGCAAAAACCAATGCAGATAGGTTCCTGTTTTTAGTTTTCTACACCACTTTACAACCTAGCTGTTTTTGTTCCATGTTTTAATATCATTTTCTTTCATTTGTCCTTCTCAGTTTGTATGTTTTCCTTTGATTGTCCACTGTTGTCATCACTTTGTTAAAATCAGGTCTCTCTCGTAAATGAGTACCCAAGGCTCAATGGGACTAATCTGTATAAATAAAGGTTGAATAATTGTCCCTGACAGAAGAACTCCTAGGATCATTCAGACACACAAACTCCTCCACCACGATAAGGTGGCAATTCAAGTAAGAGACTTCTACCGGGTCTCCACTACTGAACTGTACCCTGTATTTTAATATTTTTATTTGAAGCACGCACAATATCAAGTTATAAAGGTATTTATTTTATGTTTTTAAAGAAACACAACAGTTTGACGTTTTCTGGTGTAATTAAACTTGATTCTTTGCATAAAATTTGATTCTGATGTTTTCAGGCAGTAACTCTGGATAAATGGTAAATGGACTGTATAGTGCTTTTCTATCTTATCAAGACACTCAAAGCTCTTGACGGATGATGTCATCAAAGTGGATGACACTGCACATTTTACTGACAGGCTCAACAACCATCAGACCATTTCAAACCTTTGTTTATATCTTTTAACAGCTGTTTATTTAAAACTTGTTAACTTTCTGGACATCATCTCAGCAGCTTTAGCTTTGGTTCTGGAGATTGTTGGTGTCCTGTTCCTGATGCTGCAGCACGACCCAAACCATCAGCCTCCACCACCGTGCTGACAGCTGGGAGGAGGGGTTTACTGCTGTGCATTCTGGGTAAACATCTGTCCTCTGGTCTCATTGTTTCAGAATCTTGGTTGCTGATTCGGATGAAACTTTTTAAACCTACGTCATGCTGCCATGATCTTTTTATTTTAGAGGTGTTCACCTGGAACCCATCCAAACAAGCCATGACCTTTGACCTTTAACTAAAGCCTGCAGACTCTAAGATGTTTAATTGTTAACTTTAATAACACATTTCTTGTTTTGTTCTAGATACTGATGAAGATACTGAATCCATGCTGGGACCTTTGTGATCCTCATCTTGATCCTGAAGACATTCTCTAGATGTTGAGGAAGCTGCTGGAACTGGACCCAGGATGTTTTCCTGACCCTGACCCAACAGCCAGAGGAGCCAGTCCAGACATTCGGGACATGCTTCAGTTCATGTAGGAAGCTTACATTTTCCTCAAGTTCCCTGAATGCATCATCGGCCTGCTTTACATCAGCGCCGACTAACAGCGACCTGTCGGTCGGCTCTGAGAGGCCGTACTCAACCATGGCGTTTTCTGTGGCGTTAACGGTTCTCAGGACCTCAGTGGTGAGGTCACAGAGGGCAGCGGCCGCAGATCTCTGAAAGCCATGTAGAGGGACAGATGTTAGCAGCTGGAACACAACTGTCTGCAGCAGCTACCAGGCTGGACCTCCGTACAGGGAGGATTTCATGAGAGGTATATTTTTATGCAGCTGATCTCCAGGGGGTTCCATGAGGGCTAGGCAGGTAGCAGCTACCAGGCTGGACCTCCACACAGGAAGGACTTTTTACTAAAATCAAGGTGTGTCCTAATGCACCTGATCTCCAGGAGTGCATGAGTTCCAGGCTGGTAACTGCTTCACATTAACATCCTTTAACATCCTTACAGGTGCTCAGGTAGGCGGGAGGTGGGCTGTTAGTGAGGAAATATTCATGCTCCAACAAGTCCACCTCAGAACCTCAAAGATCTTAGAAATCACTTGGGACCTGGTTAGATTTTTCACCTGAGTCCAGGTAGAGATCTGTTTCTGGTTCTGGAGTGGAGCTCATTGTCAAGACCTAAATATGAATATGTTATCATCAGAGTTTGGCCTGATGGAAGGAGACCTTCTGAAGTCAAAGCTGAGCCATGCAAATGTTCTGACAGTTTCAATAACAGAAACCTGAAAGTTCTCAAACTAATAAAATGATCATCTTTCTTCATTCAGGCTGGTACTGTTGGATTTGGATCTGTTGGATTTGGACCTTCAGAACCATCCTTGGAACAGGTAAAACCTTCATGTTTCTGTTTACTGCCATTCTGAGGGTTTGGAGGTGTTATCTTCATGCAGCTATCGTACCTTCTGAGCCTCCGTTGGTAACTCGTCACTGGACGAACTCAGTTCTTTGTCCTTCAGAGAATCCAGAAGAGCCCCTGGTCTGGTACCAGACGATGCTCTTCCTAAAGAAAATGGCTTCTTCATGGCCTCGTCATCTGAAGACAGGCCTTTATCACTCACATTCCCGGCCAGCTCGCTCAGTTTCTTCCTCAGCTTCTCCTCCTCCACCTGAGCTGAGGCAGTGGATGCCTGCAGGAAGACACAGACCAGACTTTTTGAAACAGGGCAGCTCACTAGTCATATTCTTCTCTTACCAATAATTTAGTTGCTACGTTTGCGTCCTGTCTTACCTCGTCAGCTGGCGTGATCTTTTCCTCCAGGCGGCTCAGCAGATTCTCAATGGCTGACATCCGTTTGTTCAGTTCGTTTATCTTAGAAAGTAAATCCAGACAGACAGTCTTTAATTTTTCTGCCAGAAAGTTCTTGAGTTGACAGGCCAGACATTGATTCAGAACGCTGCTATGAACAGACACCTGTAGAGATTTTGGCATCTTCTATTTCACCTTTTTGCAGCTCCTGAGTGGCAGGGAGGAGTTTCTCCTCAGTTGTGACTCGTTTCTCAAGGACCAAGTATACCAGAGGACAACACCAATACATTGTGGCATTCAGTGAGCAGTTCCTAGTGCAACTTGAGAAATTAAGAATTAATCCTGCTTACCTGGTGCTCCTTATAGATGAGAATCAATTTCCTGTATCTTCCAAGTTTGAAACAGACCTTAGTCTTCCAGCTTGAGTTTTCCTTGGACCCATCAAGACCTTCTCACATGGACATTGCAGTTGGAAAGATCTCTCACTTACCTTGGCATCCTGGTCTGATCTGCTACTCTCCTACACCAACCTGTGAAACTCGCCTACCATACACACCTTCCTGGAACCTGGATCATACCTAACTCTACCTGAAACTCTTATAACCTAGAACAGAATAGAATAGAATAGAAACAGCCTTTATTGTCCCACGGATGGGAAATTCAAGTGTAACAACAGCAACAGATAAAAAGATTTCACACAAAAGTTCCTAAATGTTAATAAACAATACAATATAAAATAAATAAGAAGAGTAAGCCTTCTCAGTTTTTACAAAGACTTCTAGAATATTCTTTGTCTAGACAATTTTCTCTAGACAGAGAAGATAGTATGACGATGGTAAATATTTATTTACCATATTTATTCTGCATTCACAGATACTTACTCATTTTCTCCTGAGTCTAGCCCCTTGTAAATACTGTAAATATTGTAAAAAAAAAAAAATTCTTACCTTAAGTGTCTTGAGTCTTCCTGGGTTTCCATTAACAATACTCTGAGAAAATGAACAACACAAATGTGTCAGGAACAACACAAGTGTGTCAGCAACAACAAGAAATTTAGTGCCACTCTGCTGGACGTGGGTTACAGGAGTCCCACCCTAGAGCCAGGCCTGAGGGAGGGGCTTGTTGTGAGCAGTTTGTGATTGGGCTTCTACTCATGCGCTCCAGTTGGGTTCAGTTCGAAGACAGTTACATGGGTTTGCCTTCCTGAAATCCCACAACCTGCAGGAGGGGGGTCATATGGGTCCAACAAATGATGCCATAGGTGGTAGCTGAAAGCAGGGTCCTTGGCATTCTGACTGTGACTTACCAAAGCTGGCTTTTTGTACACGAAACATTGCCTTTTTGGTGAGGAAGGAGCATGAGGTTGAGAGGTACCGACTGGATGTAGTTGGGCACACCTTGATGCACAACCTGAGCTTCACAACCAATCTCCCTGAAAGGGGCTGGACCTTATTCCATGCTGGAGTTGCCCTTGGTAAAAGGTGTGGAACTGGTGTGGGTCTACTTAAAGCCCTCTGGCTTAGTTGACTGTGTGTTGAAATTTTCACTGGTAGACAAGTGGATAGCTATCTTGCACCTTCGGGTGGGGGGACAGGTTATGATTGTTGTTTATTCCTATGTGCTGAACACCAGTTAGGAGTACCCAGCCTTCTTGGAGTCCTTACTGCAGGTGCTCCAGCAGGGGATTCCTTTATTCTGCTGGGGGAATTAAATGCCCACGTGTGTAGAGACAGTGTGACCTGGAGGGGTGTCATTGGGAGGAACAGCCTCTCTGATCTGGACTCAAGTAGTGTTCTGTTGTTGGACTTTTGTGCTAGTCACGGTTTATTCATCATGAAAACCATAACCAAACGTAAAGGGTGTCTGTAAGTGCACATGGCACATGGACACCCTAAATCGCAGATCAATGATAGACTTTGTAGTCATGTCAGATGATCTGTATTTTGATCCTGTATGCTCCACACTGGTTTGTCGTCATTATCTACATCGTTTTTATGTCTATATTCTGTTTTACCTCATTTTGTATTTTGCTTGGTGTGTTACCTGTTGTTTTATCTGTACAGCACTTTGGTTGGCCTTGTCGCTGTTTTAAGTGCTTTATAAATAAAGTGGTATGGTATGGTATGGTGGTATGTTGTCTGATCCGTGTCTGCATGTTTTCGAGACTCGGGTGAAGAGGGGAGCCGAGCTGTCAACTGATCACCACCTGGTGGTGAATTGGATCAGATGGCAGGATAAGATGCCACACAGACCTGGTAAACCCAGACGTGTAGTGAAGGATTGCTGGAACTGCCTGATAGAAAAACCTGTCAGAAGGATTTTTAACTCACACCTCTGAGAGTATTTCAACTGAATCCAAGTGAGGGACATTGAGTTTGAGTGGGCCATTTTTCACACCTCCAATGTCAAGGCAGCTGCCTTAAGCTGTAGCCACAATGTTGTCAATGCCTTTTTTTGGTGGACATTCTCCAACCCAGTGGGGGACTCCCTGAGTGAGGAAGGCCATCAAGCTGAAGAAGGATTCCTATTGGGTCTTGTTGGCTGGACGGATTTTGGATGTAGCTGATGGTACTGGTGGGCCAAGGAAGCTGCAGCCCTGGCTATCCTGATGCATGCTCAATAATCCAGGTAGAAAAATCTAAAAAAGTAAAGTTTGGTCCTCTGAACGGGTTCAAAAAACAAAAAAATTGTAGAAATGTTTCAACTTTCATCTGAAAGACTTCCTCAGTCTGAGGAGCTGTATTCAGCTCAGTCTTATAAATAGCACCTTCTCAGAGTGGATCAACCAGTTTGCTGCTGACAACCAAAACCAGCAGCATGATCAAGGAGGACTGCTTGCTATTCACAGGGGGATGAGTGATACTAGCAATAACAGCATTGTAAGAGGGGGACAGTTGAACACGGAGGCCTCCACCCCTGTTTAATGATAGACAGTTTCTTTTCACAAAGATGGCCTCCTTTACTCCTCTCTCAAACCATCATTCCTCTCTGTCAAGGATGTGAGCATCTTCATCCCTGAAAGAGTGACCGATGGTCTGAAGATGAGTGTAGACCACAGAGTTCTGGCCAGACGATGTTGATCTTCTGTGCTGGTCCATCCTTTTGGCCAGTGGCTGTTTAGTTTCCTCGATGTAAGACTGATCACCCTCCTGACACTGAACAGCATACACAATATTACTCTGTGCCGGGAGACTGGATCTTTGGGATGAACCAGTCTTTGCTGCAATGTATTTGGGGGTTTAAAAGCCACTGGGACATTATGTTTAGAAAACAAACATCTTAATGTCTCTGAAATTCATGCAACATATGAAATGACCACTGGTCTGGGTCTGGGTTCCTCCTTTTCACCTGATGGCTGGCTGGAGTCCTGTTTGGGTTTCTTCTCTGCTTTCAGGAAGGCCCAGTTAGGATATCCACATTTCTCTAGAGCCTGTCTTGTGTGGGATTTCTCTGCAGTCCTGGCTGTTTCTGAAGCAAAAGCTCAGATGTTGGCAAGAGTTTGGTAAAGCCTTAGATAGAGACTCCTGATTGCATCTGTAGAGATTCCAGCAAACCATCAGGTAACTGAGGTGGAGAAAGTAGCACTGTACCAACACTGTGTTTAGTGGAGGTGGGGGAGCTGTTGACCTCAACCAGTTGTGGAATCAGGCAGTGGAAGGAATATTTTTCAGACCTCAATACCACCAACATATCTTCCATGGAAGAAGTTGAGTCAGGGGACTTGAGGTTTGGTCAGTTTATAACTGACATAACTGAGGCTGAGGTTGTCAAGGTAGTTAAAAAGCTTTGCAGCATCAGGGCTCTGGGGATGGATGAGATCTGCCCCAAGTTCTTCGAGACTCTGGATGTTGCAGGATAGGTCTTGGATGACACCTTTGGAACATTGTATGGACAACTTCAAAAAGTGGGATCGGAGGGTGTGCTTCAATTAAAGGACATCACTCCTTAACCTTCCTGGTAAGGTCTATTCAGGGGTTATGGAGAAGAGAGTCTGATTTATGATTGAACCTCAGACTCAGGAGAAACAATGTGGGTTCCGTCCTTGGCCTGGAACACTGGATCAGCTGTTTACCCTCAATAGGGTCCTTGAAATGTCATAGGAGTTTGCTCATCCAGTCTACATGTGTTCTGTGGACTCGGAGAAGGCATTCTACAGTGTTCCTTGGGGTACACTGTTGACGATTCTCCGTGAGTATGGAATTGGGGGGTATGTTGCTATAATAATCAGGTCTCTCTTGTAAATGAGTAACTGAGGCTAAATGGGATTAACCTGCCTAAATAAAGGTCAAATGAATCCATTCAGTCTTTATACAAGCGGTATGAGAGATGGTTTGTATTGCCACCTGTGAGTCACATCCCTTCAGGGTTGGAGTTGGGCTTTGCCAGGGCTGCTCAATGTCACTGATTCTGTTTTTTACTTTTATGGAAAGAATCTTTTGATGCAGCCAAGGGTGATGGGAGTCTGGCTTTGTGGTCTCAGTATTTATTCTCTGCTATTTGCAGATTATGTGGTCCTGTTGGCATTATTGTGCTGTGATCTCCAGCTTTCACTGGAGCCAAGTGTGAAGTAGCTGGGATGTGGATTAGCATCTCCAAATCTGAGGCCATGGTTCTAGTCAGAACAGGGTGGATTGCCCTCTCCAGGTTGGGAGGTAAAGTTCTACCTCAAGTGGAGGAGTTAAAGTATCTTGGGGTTTTGTTTACAGTGAGAGTAGAATGGAGTGTGAGATCAACAGATAGAACCTTTTCAATGTTTGTTAATAACATACAGTCTAAGACCACTCCGTTACTGAATGGTGTTCCTCAGGGTTCAGTGTTTGGTCCTATTCTGTTCCTTTTGTACATCACCCCCCTGGGAAAGATTATCAGTAGCTTCAGAAATGTGTCTTACCATCTCTATGCTGATGATATTCAACTGTACTGTTCCTTTTATAACTCAGAATTACATAAGTTAGCTGAATTAGTAAACTGTGTTTCCCATATTAAGGCGTGGCTAGCTAACAACTGCCTTCAGTTAAATTCTAACAAGACGGAAACCCTGATCATTGCCCCTGAACAGAAAGTTCCTTGGATTAAACAACACCTCGGTTCTCTGGGCTCCTCTTCTCAGCCGAACCTCAGAAATCTCGGTGTTCTGTTCGACCAGTCCTTGTCTTTGGACAAACATTCAAAGCTTCTGGTAAAAAACTGCTTTTATCATCTGAGAAACATTTCTAAACTGAGGGCAATGTTATCCAGATCTGACCTGGAGACGATTATTCATGCTTTTATTTCTTCTCGTTTAGATTATTGTAATTCCCTTTTTACTTGTTTTAACAAAACTGCCGTCGCTTGTCTCCAATTGGTCCAGAACTCTGCTGCGAGGCTTTTAACAGGAACTAACAGAAGGGCTCACATTACACCAGTTTTATCTTCTCTTCATTGGCTGCCTGTTGAATTTAGAATTAATTTTAAAATCTTAGTTTTGACCTTTAGAGCTTTAAATGGACAGGCCCCCCAATACATTACTGAAATGTTGTTTCCTTATTCTCCAGCCCGCACCCTTCGGTCTTCAGCGCTGAACCTTTTTAAGGTTCCTAAGACCCGGTTTAAAACTCGGGGTGACCTGTCCTTTCAGGCCGTAGCCCCCCGCCTGTGGAATGCCCTGCCCCTGTCTCTCCGTGTGAACGTTTCTGTTGATTCTTTTAAAACGCAGCTTAAGACACTTTTATTTCGCCAAGCTTTTAGTTAAATGTTTTACTGTTTTTTCCAGCTGTTTTTACTGTTTTTATTAATGAGTTATTATTTTATTTTATTTTAATCTTTTATTTCTTTATTGTTGTACAGCACTTTGTGATTGTATCTATGATAAGTGCTATATAAATAAAGTTTACTTACTTACTAGATCAGTGCAGCTTACACAGTATTGCAAACTCTGCTGGTCCATTGTGGTGAAGAGGGAGATGAGCTGCAAGGCGAAGTTATGTTTACTGGTCAGTCTACATTCGTACTCTCACCTATGGTCACAAACTTTGGGTAATGACCAAAAATATGAGAGCATGGATACAAGCTGTCAAAATTAGATTTTTCCACAGTGTGGCTGGACTCTTCCTTAGAGATAGGGTGAGAAGTTCAGTTATTTGGGAGAGATTTGGAGTTGAACTTCTGCTCCTCAACATTGAGAGAAGTCAGTTGAGGTGGTTTGGACATCTGATAAGGATGCCCCCTGGACTCCTAAGGGATGTGTTCTGGGTATGTGCAACTGGGAGGAGACATGTCTTCGGTTGGCCTGGGGACGCCTTGGAGTCCTCTCAGAGGAGTTGGAAGAGGTGCCTGTGAAAAGAGATGTCTGGGCTTCCCTGGTCAAGCTGCTGGCCCTGAGACCTGACTTCGGATAATGCAGAACATAATGGATAGATGGATGAAGATTCTCATCACCAACATTTTCTGATAAATGCAGTTTTTTTATCTTAAATTGTGTTCTTACTGGGGGTGCTTGTCCAAGGTTCTCCTGTGAGGTGGTTCTGCTGTTCCTCCGGCGGTGGGGAGGTTGTTGGTACATGGGGGGGTACCTGGGGTACTCGTCCTCATCTGAAGTGTCGACATACTGCTGCCGAGCAATCGAGGAGCTGATCTTAGATAGAGAGCGAGTTCTTACAATCCGGTTTTCTGCATAGTCATCTGAAAAAAATATGAATGGGTAGAGAATACAAGTAAAACTTGCAGGTAAACACATGCACACAAACGCGCACACACACACACACACACACACACACACACGCACGCAGGTAGATTGTATGAACTCAAACAGGTAGAAGGCAGAGGTAAAACATGCGTATGAACTCAGATTAATTCAAACAGCTCGATAGTACAGGTAAATGGATGAATACAGGTAGTGTGTGTTTCTTCATGTGTTCTGACCTGGTCTCATGGCATAGCGGTCCAGACTCTTTCTGCGGTTTGCTCGGTGGCTGTAATAGTCATAGTCCACATCATTCCTGTAACACCGATCATCTTGCATCTGGTTTTTACACAGTGTCAGTAAACACATCGTTAAACCAAAGCCAGACCAGTCTTCATTTAACTGAAGGTTTATTTGAAGGTTTAGCTAAACTTTTATCTTAGGTTTCTCTGTAAAAGCAGCTCAGGGGTCTAATGCAAATGTTACTATGTGACCAACCTGTACTGATGGGCGGCGTGAATGAGGAAGATAATCCTCAGAGTCAAAGTCCATGGGATGAACTGACAGCAGGCGTTTATTCTTTCTCATCTGAATGGAAAACATTTGTTTTAGTTATTATTTTTGGGACTTTCCATGGACTTCACTTTGGTTTTAAAGTTTACCACTTTGTAACGCTGGGCCTCGGCCTCTCCTGGATCATCCTCGTTACCGTTTTGCATTTCTGAAAGAAATCACAATATTGAAGTATACTGAGCAGTATCCTGATGCATGCTCAATAATCCAGGTAGAAAAATCTAAAAAAGTTAAATCTGGTCCTCTGGACATTCAAAACTGAGCAGTGTTTTCATTTGGCCTTTGGCATTTGGCCTTTGTCACGCTAAGGGAAAGAGATATCCATGTTAGCTATGCTAACAGTTTAGTCTATGCTGACTCCTTACTTAAAAATTAGCAACAAGCTAAACTTATACTTTCAGTTTCTCTGCCTTAAGGAACTTTTGATTTGTCCCCACTATGTCTTCTGAATATATAAAGGCTTTTTAATATACAAACTGGATTCCAAAAAAGTTGGGACACTAAACAAACTGTGAATAAAAACTGAATGCAATGATGTGGAGGTGCCAACATCTAATATTTTATTCAGAATAGAACACAAATCACAGATCAAAAGATTAAACTGAGAGAATGTATCATTTTAAGGGAAAAATCTGTTGTTTCCAAATTTCATGGCGTCAACAAATCCCAAAAAAGTTGGGACAAGTCCATTTTTACCACTGTGTGGCATCCCCCCCTTCTTCTTACAACACTCAACAGACGTCTGGGGACAGAGGAGACCAGTTTCTCCAGTTTAGAAATAGGAATGCTCTCCCATTCATGTCTGATACAGGCCTCTAACTGTTCAATCGTCTTGGGCTTTCTTTGTGGCACCTTCCTCTTTATGATGCGCCAAATGTTCTCTATAGGTGAAAGATCTGGACTGCAGGCTGGCCATTTCAGTACCCGGATCCTTCTCCTACGTAGCCTTGATGTTGTGATTGCTGCAGAATGTGGTCTGGCATTATCATGTTGAAAAATGCAGGGTCTTCCCTGAAAGAGATGACGTCTAGATGGGAGCATATGTTGTTCTAGAACCTGAACATAGTTCTCTGCATTAATGGTGCCTTTCCAGACATGCAAGCTGCCCATGCCACAAGCGCTCATGCAACCCCATACCATCAGTGATGCAGGCTTCTGAACGGAGCGTTGATAGCAACTTGGGCTATCCTTGTCCTCTCTAGTCCGGATGACATGGCGTCCCAGTGTTCCATAAAGAACTTCAAATCATGACTCATCTGACCACAGAACAGTCTTCCATTTTGCCACACTCCATTTTAAATGACTCCTGGTCCAGTGCAAACGTCTGAGTTTGTGGAGCTTGCTTAGCAATGGCTTCCTTTTTGCACTGTAGAGTTTCAGCTGGCAACGGCGGATGGCACGGTGGATTGTGTTCACTGACAATGCTTTCTGGAAGTATTCCTGAGCCCATTCTGTTATTTCCTTGACAGTGGCATTCCTGTTTGAGGTGCAGTGACGTTTAAGGGCCCGGAGATCACGAGCATCCAGTAGAGTTTTACGGCCTTGACCCTTACGCACAGCGATTTTTCCAGATTCTCTGAATCTTCTGATGATGTTAGGCACGGTTGATGATGATAACTTAAAAGTCTTTGCTATTTTACGCTGGGTAACACCAATCTGGTATTGCTGCACTATCTTTCTGCACAACAATGGTGGAATTGGTGATCCTCTTACCATCTTGGCTTCTGAGAGACACTGAGACTCTGAGAAGCTCTTTTTATACCCAATCATGTTGTCAATTGACCTAATTAGGGTTAATTAAAAAATATTTGAAGCTCTCGACCTTGACCTCTCTAAGTGGCTTTAAGAATCTGTTGGACTCCTGGCAAGGACCAATGCAGACATGTTCCTGTTTTTAGTTGTCTACATTCACCTTAGAATCTAGCTGTTTTTTTTGTTTTTTGTTTTGTTACCTTTTCCTTTTAGCCATCCTATTTGTAAAAAAAAAAAAAAAACCCTGCAGTATGACTTTTTATAACTGTTTATTGTTGTTGCTGTTGTCCATTGTTGTCATCTTTCTTTGTTGAAATGAGGTCTCTCTTGTAAATGAGTCCTCGAGGCTCAATGGGATTTACCTGTCTAAATAAAGGTTGATTGATTGATTGAATTGGTCTTCCAGCTGTTCGTTATATGCTCAATTTCCTTTTTCCAGCCACTTATTGCCACTTGTCCCAACTTTTTTGGGATTTGCTGACACTGTGAAATTTTGAATCAACATATTTTTCCTTTAAAATGTTACATTTACTCAGATTAAACTTTTGATCTGTCATCTATGTTATATTACAAATAAAATATTGACATTTGCCATCTCCAGATCATTGCATTTAGTTTTTATTCCCAATTTGTTTAGTGTCCCAACTTTTTTGGAATCTGGTTTGTATATATATATATATTATTTTTAACTGTGTTTTAGCAGCCCCCAAATTGTAGGAAAATTATAATGTTGATTGTGAGACTCACGGCTGCGGACGTCTGGCATACTCTGAGTGTCGTCCTCATGACCACCTGATGGACAAACATCAACTTTTAGCAAGTGGCAACAAAACAACTAGATGAGACTGAAGCTGTTCTCAAGTTGATTAGCACGTGTTAGAATTCACCATCTCCGCTCAGACGCTTGTACAGTGACCTCATCACTTTCGCACTGCCAAAGCGCTTGAAACGGTTTCTCATGTTATCGTGATACCAACCCAGAGTCCCAATCTTTAAGACTCTGTAGAACATACAAAAACAACACAACAAATTACTCAAAGATAGTATCCACAACTCATCATCCTGATTTTCAAGACTCCCTCACCAGACTAAGTCTCACCTGAATCTTGACTTGATTTCCTTTGATTAATGACTCAGTCCAGCCTAACACCTAAACTGGTCTCCCCTGACTAACTCTCCTCTGACTCAGTCTTGTGTGACTCCTCAGTCTTTCCTGACTCCTGACACAATCTCCTCTGACTCCAGATGTAGTCTCACCTGATTCCCCACTTTGTCTCATTTGACTCCTGACTTGGTCTCCCTATACCCTAAGTATAGGATTTAGCAAAAAAGAAAGTCTTAAGCCTAGTTTTAAAACTGGATCATGTGTCAGCCTCACGGACAGAGATTGGAAGTTGGTTCCACAAGAGAGGAGCCTAATTCCTGACTCTGTCTCATCGGACTCCAGACTCGGTTTCTCTTGACTCAAGACTTTGTCCGCCTGACTCCTTAAACAGTCTCGCCTGACTCCTGACTGGGTCTGACTTGACTTGATTGAGTCTTTACTGACTCCTGACACAGTCTTGCCTGATTCCTGATTCTGTCTCACCAGATTCATAACTCAGTCTCTCCTGACTCCTGATTCAGACTTGCCTGACTCCTGACTTGGTCTCGCCTGACTCTGTCTCATCTGACTACTGACTCGGACTCACCTGACTCTTAACTGAGCCTCTCCTGACTCTGTCTGACCTGACTCAATTCAATTCAATTCAGTTTATTTATATAGTGCCAAATCACAATAAAGTTGTCTCAGGGCACTTTACAGGAACATTCACATAAAAGCCAATTAGTAAAGTTCTCTATCTAAGGAATCCAGCAGACAAGTTGAATCTTGGCTTCGTTGCAGTCTCCCATCCTGAGCAAGCACAGTGGAGACAGTGGAAAGAAAAACTCCCTTTAACAGGAAGAAACCTCCAGCAGAACCAGTTCAGGACAAGAGACCATCTGCTTTGACCGGCTGGTTGAGAAGACAGGAAGGAGAGACAGACGAACACAGAATGGTAGGTCCAGATATAGGTCCAGGTCCAGATATAGGTCCAGGTGTATGTGAAAGACAAAAAAAAAACCCACATGTTAAGGATAGAAAAAAGGGACAGCTCAGAAAATCCAAGCCGACCCTAAGTATAGGATTTAGCAAAAAAGAAAGTCTTAAGCCTAGTTTTAAAACTAGATCATGTGTCAGCCTCATGGACAGAAACTGGAAGTTGGTTCCATAAGAGAGGAGCCTGAGAACTGAAAGATCTGCCTCCCATTCTGTTTTTGTAAACTCTAGGAACCACAAGTAAACCTGCAGTCTGAGAGTGAAGTGCTCTGTTAGTAAAATATGGAACAATAAGAACTGTAATATAAGATGGAGCTAGGTTGTTGAGAGCTTTGTAGGTTAGAAGTAAGATTTTGAATTCTATTCTGGATTTGACAGGGAGCCAATGGAGAGAAGCTAAAACTGGAGAGATATGATCTCTCCCAGTAACTCCAGTTAAGACTCTGGCAGCAGCATTTTGGATCAACTGAAGACGTTTTAAAGAAGTATTTGGACACCCAGATAATAAACCATTGCAATAGTCCAGTCTAGACGTGACAAATGCATGGACCAGTTTTTCTGCATCATCTTTAGATCAGATGTTTCTAATGTTAGTGATATTACGCAGGTGGAAGAAGGAGGTTCTAGTAACGTTTTTAATGTGGGGGATAAAAGACATGTCCTGATCAAAAATAACTCCACTCCTGACTCTGTCTGACCTGACTCCTGATTCTGACTCGCCTGATTCGGGATTCTGACTCACCTGATTCAAGACTAAGTCTCTCCTAACTCCTGACTCTGATTGACTGACTCCTGACTCAGGCTTACCTGACTCCTGACACACTATCACCTGAGTCCTGATTCAGTCTCGCCTGACTCCTGACTGTTTCTCGCTTGACTCTTGACTGTGTCTCACCTGATTCCTGACTCTGTCTCTCATGACTGTCTCGCTTGAGTCCTGATTCTGTTTCACCTGATTCATGGCTCAATCTCTCCTGACTCCCGACTGTTTCTCGCCTGTCTCCTGACTCTGTCTTGCCTGACTCTGTCTTGCCTGACTCCTGGCACAGTCTCACCTGAGTCTTGATTCTGTCTCACCTGATTCATGACTCCTTTTCTCTTGACTCCTGACTCTATCTCACCTTACTCCTAACTGTTTCTTGCCTGTCTCCTGTCTGTGTCTCGCCTGACTCTTGACTCAGCCTCATCTGATTCATGACTCAGTCTATCTTGACTGTGTCTCACCTGACTCCTGACTCTGTCTCTCTGGACTCGTCACTCGGTCTCACCTGACTGTGTCTCACCTGATTGTGTCTTGCCTGGCCCCTGACTTTGTCTCACCTGACTGCTGACTCGGTCTCACCTGGTCATGCGGCAGTTGTCACACACCCAGCCGTGCTCCTTCTTGTTGTAGCGGCTGCAGGACTTACAGGTGTACATGTGGCAGTCCAGACACTGACGTTTGCTGTTGACCAGAAACTTGAAGGGCTGAAGGCAGCGGATGCATAACGAGTCTGCCACATTTGTTTGAGCCCCCAGTAGCTCCCGCTTTGTGTCCTCCTTCTCAATTTGATTCTTCAGATCCCTGCAACCAACAGGAAGGACCAATCTTATCAAAAGACCTGAGAGAGACTCAACTGCTCAGAAAGACAAACAGAACATCGACACCGGCGTCGAATGCTTCACAGAACCCGATTTGTTTCTGCAAAAACAAAATGCGAATTTAAACAGAAATGTGGCTAAAGCAGCAGCTTGGCCTCAGAGTTATCCATGGTAATGCTTGTTTGTCTCCAGCCCCAGGGGCACATGGGAGTTGGAGTGTTCAGTGGGATCAGAGAGTGTTTGTGACGTCAGAGCGTGTGACCGCAGCGTGATGACTGCAGCAACAACAGCAGCTTTAACGCTCACATTCCTGCCAGCTTCAGAAGAATGAGCTGATTCAGATGCTCCGGGTCACAAAGACTCTCAGGCAGCTTATGTTCCAGAAACATCAGAATCTGGCTGACTTGGACTTCTGTTGGTGTCGTCTAAACTTTAAAGTAGGCTTGAAACATGTCAGGTGGATGAAGGAAGAAAGAACCGTACGAGAGTCTGTTCTCTTCCTTCTTCCGGAGGTTGAAGTCTCGTTGGATCACCTCCCACACATGTTTGGCTTCTTCATCTGTCAGACGGGACAGGTCCAGTTTATGCTCCATGGTCCTGAAACACAAGAAGTGATCAATAATCAATAAAACATAGTTTAGTTTGACCCTTGCCCTTCTCTCTTCCACCACCCCCACTGAGTCTAGAGGACACCCTGTCCCATCACCGTGTTATATGAGGTCTACAGTTCTCCCTGGACTCTGAAGGACCTGGGCCTCCTGAGCAGGTAGAGTCTGATCTGGCCTTCCTTGTGAGTCCAGACTCAGGTTCAGGGAAGGTCTCAGCATCTGTTAGCAGAAGTCCTCCAGCAGTTCTTTGGCTATCCTCGTGTTGATCTGGAGCTGGTTCTGTGGACAGCAGCTGAGTCAGTCCTCGCGACTCCGTGCTCCATCTGTGAGCTAGCTTCCACTTAGCTTTAGCTAGTGTTCTGCTCCTTTTAGCTTCTTCAGCAGATTTTAACAGTCCATCAGCTTAGACGACAGCAGGCAAAATATTCGCAAATAAATCTGTTTTATTCATTTGTAAACTTTTGGACAAAAACAAAATAGAAAAACAGTGATCAATATATATTCCAATTTATTCAACCTTTATTTCTACAGGTTAGTCCCATTGAGCCTCGGGACTGGGACTCATTTACAAGAGCGACCTGGTTTTAACAAAGTGACGACAACAGTGGACAATCATAAAAGAAAGCATACAAATTGAGAAGAACATATGAAAGAAAATAGTATTTAAAAAAACAGCTAGATTCTAAGGCAAATGTAGAAAACTAAAAACGGGAACATCTGCAGGAACTGAACAGATTTTTGAAGCCCCTTAGAGAGGTCAAAGGTCGAGAGCTTCAGATCTTTTTACAAGATATTCCAGGAAACAGGAGCGGAGTAGGAGAAGGTCCTTTTGCCTAGTTCAGTCCTCACTGAGGGAACACTGCAGGTAATGATGTCCTGAGAGCGCACGCTGTAGCTGCACTCACACAGAGACATGTAGGAGGAGATGTATGAAGGCAGCAGACCAAGACCAATATTTTATGAAACCATTATTCTGTGATCAAACTAAAAGGAAATAATTAGAAAAATAAAAAAGTTTTTCATAAAAGATAAAATATTTAAAGGAATTCTTAAATTTTATGATGAAAATATGGATTTAGATCAAAAGTGATTAAAAAGAAAAAAACATTTTGACACAAAGAAAGAAGCTTAGCATTTTTGTTTTATGGATTATAATCTGGAATTTTTCATCTATTTCAAGATTTCATGTCAAAACATTCAGCTCATTCAGTGTTTGTGCATTTTGACTTTTTGAAATATTTACCTTGTCGGCCATGTTTGTCTTGTTGAAAATGAACGGAGCTCTCTTCACGTCCTTCTAGAAGTTTACAAACTTTTACTGCTCGTTTCAGTTTTTCTTCTGCTTCAGCTTTTTCAGATTCCACTAATTTCACAAAATGTTCTGCTTTTAACCTACTTTTGAGGTATTTTCTGCTAATTTTTGTCTGTTTTCTGCCATTTGGGATTCTTAAAATAATAAAACTTTTTATGCTCCTTTTGAGCTTTTAAAAAAAACCTTTCAGCTTCTTTATTTTCATTTTCAGTTTTTCATTTTTTGCTAAATTCAGATTTTTTTGTAATCTTTTCAGCCTCTCTGCTTATTTCAGCTCATTTCTGTAGTTTTTCTGCTGCTTTCAGCAAATGTCAGCTGTTTGGGTCAGAGATGAAACCTTTTCAGCTTCAGCTGCTTTCAGCAGAAATCATTCAGCAATAAGCACTTGTGCTGCATTCTCACAGGAAATGACCGTTAGTATTCTTATCCTGGTCAGATTAAAGTAGTTTCTGTCCGACTGCCTGCCACACCTTGCAGACGGCCCGGCGCCTCGGACATCAGCACAAAGTCTAAACTAAACTGGATCCATTTAGTTTTACACAATTCAATTCAATTAAATTCAGTTTATTTCTATAGCACCAAATCACAACAAAGTTGTCTCAGGGCACTTTACAGGAACATTCACATAAAAGACAATTAGTAAAGTTCTCTATCTAAGGAATCCAGAAATTTTCTGTCTGATCAACAAGCACTTGAAAACAAAAGAAGGTGTTTGACCTCAGAGGGAACATTTCTGCACAGAGTCAGGATGAGACGTTTGAGACGAGCTGATCAGAGATCAGCTGCAGTTAAATCTAATCAGCTGAGATGAACAAATTTAATTAAAGATTATAAAACGACTCACCGAGTTTCTCTGAGAGGCTGAAGCTGCTGAATGAAGAAAAGAGGAGTAAATCCAAAAGAACATCATGTCATCACATGATGCGCGCACACACACACACACACACACACACACACACACAACAGAGTCATGCAACTTGGTCAAATGACCCAAATATCCTGGCGTGTATTCTCAGACATGGTAAATAAATACAAATTAAAATAGAACAAACTGCACTTGTGTTCTGGTTCTCCTCCCCTGCAGGAGCTTCCTCTGTTCAGACCTGTAGAGTGTGGATGTCCAACCTTTACACAGCAGAAGAGGTTCCACTTAGGATGCTCAACTCACATTCAGATTGATCTCTCTCCTGAGGGTCATCAGGGTCTTTGTCTCCCTCCCCTCCCTCCTGAT